GAATTTTCTAGTTTTGGTGATTTTTTTTGGCAATTCCTAACTTCAGCTTTTGTATTCTTTATGTATACTGATCCTAAATCTATTGCAGAAGCTCAACTTCCAATTCTGGAAAGCAATGCTTAGACTTAGGGTCCAGTCCCTGAAGTGGAACAGTTTTCAATGGCATCAAGGGCCACAGAACCACATAGAAGCTCATTTTTTTCAGCGTGGTCTTCCACTGGTTCTATAGTGGCCATAGCGTCGTCATGTGCTCTGGGATATCTCGCTGTAGATTGGTTCAAACTTCGCGTCGCTCACGCTGAAGCACCTACAAAAGAAAAAGAGTTATTGCCACCGGAAAGAAAAGATCTCCCCATATTCAAGAAGGAGGACGTCAAGAAGCACGGGAAAGATGCTGAATCAATTTGGGTGACATACAAGGCAGTAAGTGCAAAACTTGGATTCCATTCTGTTTACCCGTTACTGCCAAACCTTTCAAGGAAGCCCCAGCAGATCGATCAGATCATTTGCAATGAGGTGTATACCATTGTATGCATTTGCGACGCGGAATTCAAATCTGCTTTGCGAATTTGCGGCGCATCTGTCGGTTAGTACCGAGTCATAAAAGTTTTAACCTCCACATTTTTCATGCAGTTGTCTTTTCACAGGATCAATTAGACCACCAGGGCGGTTGGAGGCTCATAACGACTGGTAATCGACACGCTGAGAACATTTACCTTGTACGTTATTCGCAGTTCGTAAGGGAAACATCCACAAGTATGAGTGACTGCAGTCTAAGGGACAGCCTTTTTCGTGCCAGCGTCTGTAGCGCACTTCAAACGCATTTTCACGCGAAATAAGTGTGACATTTGTATACGGAAACCACATTAGCGCTCGTAACGAATTTCCATGCAGTTCTAAGCTTTTGACTGGACGTCGAAAAAGTGGGGGCAGTCAAGTAGTGTCATGTGTAGTACTGGCCACTAGTTGTCGTGGGCCTATTCTCTCGTCGGTGACTGGCTTAGACTTCTAGTTATCAGAGGAACTTGAATGGTATTGGAACAGTTATCAGAGGAACTTGGGTATTGGAACAGAAGTCAGGAGTCAGATGATCCAAAATGGCAAATGAAGCTCCGAAATGAACAACGTTGCCACGGCTTGAATGGTGTGAATGGGGAAATAGACCGATAAGGACCCTTCTTAGGAAAACAATGCCATGAAGTCGTAGGGGTCGTGTCAACGCATAAGCTAGATGCTGCTTCTCTCCGGAAACTTCATTTTACGAAGTTAGGTGAAAATCTCGAAATTCGATGGAACTCCACCTCCAGGGGTTATTTGACTTCCTGAACACAACTATCTCACTCATTTGACACGAAAACGCGTGTGGATCATGCTGCGGGTACCAACATACCCAAGCTTTCCTCTAGGCTACAGGCGCATAAACTTGTCAAGGAGTTCTCTGGAATTCCTTCTGCGCTCGAGTACGGGTGAACGCTGACCTACATCTTCGAAGTATTTCTAGTCATTTTTTGAGAAAAAGCAAGCAAGTGCGGCCGTCGAGGATCTGATCCAGCAAAAATTGCTTGCAAGGCGGGCTCACTAACTGCGCTGCGTTTCATTACCACGATCGTGCAATACTTCCCAGTCTTTATGACACTTGCGCGCAAGGTATTCAAGCTTCAGTGCGCAAGACAGTGCGGAAGAAAAAACCTTCGTGATTCCCTTTAAAGAAACTCCGAAAATTTTGAAAGGAGCTTAGAGTTCATTGTCTTACGAGGCGTACGTATGTCTGCATGTTATTGCAAATGGCGAGACGACCTGTTGGGAATCCTCTTGGATCAAAAACTGATGTCTCCTGGTCAGAGACATCTTGTTTTCGTTGTTCACATTCGTGTTTATCAAACAGGAAGCCTGTTTGAAATATAGGTTGGAAGGAAAGTCTTGTCACTGTTGTGACTTTTTTCTTTTTTATTTTCTAACTCAACATACAGTGGGAATTAGTCAACAATATGCTCGTCATAGTTAGCCACTATAGTGCTCTACCTAATGGACAGGTGAGCCTTTCCCTCCTCCCAGAACTAAGGAGGCTGCGAGTAGAGTAAGTCAGCGGCCTTTCGACTGATGTCATCAAAGTTGCTGAAAGTTTTCTTAGCTAAGAAAGCCCTAAGGAGGCGGAGCAGGTAGCAGTCTTAGGGGACTACGTCAGGAGAATATGATAAGCGGGGACTGGTCTCCC